ATACCCAAAAGAATTGACAGCAAGGCCTTGAAGAAATATTTGTACACCCATGTTCATAGCAGGGTTATTCATAATTGCTAAAACGTGGGAGCAACCCAAGTGTCCATCAGTAGATGACTGGATAAGCAATATGTGGTATAGCCATACAAAGGAATATTATTCAGCCTTAAAAAGGAAGGAAATTCTGACATATGCTACAACATGGATGAACCTTGAGGATATTATGTTAAGTGCAATAAGCCAGTTATAAAAAATAAAAATACTGTATAGATATCACTTATATGAGTCACTTAGAGTAGCCAAAATCATAGAGACAGAAAGTAGAATGGTAGTTGCAGGGGCAAAGGGGGCAGGGGTAATGGGGGAAGATTATTGTTTAATGGGTACAGAGTTTCAGTTTTGCAAGACAAAAAGAGTTATGGAGACGGATGGTGATGATGATTGTACAATATTATGAATGCATTTACTACCACTGAACTGTACACTTACAAATGGTTAAGATGATAAATTTTATTTATCTGTATTTTATCACAATAAAAAAATGTTTTCAATTGTCCCAGTTTGGAAACTTTAGCCGACATGCCTGAGAATTCAATGCAAAATCGGACTTGAGATAACTGAGTTCAAACATTCAGGTGGAGATGGTAGGGATGGCTCCAGAGTAGCCTTCAGCACTGACTTCAGTCACCCTCCACACATCGGCCCTTCCTCCATACACTCAACATTACAGCACTGAGCCCCAAACCAGCTACGCCCGGTTGATGAGCAAGGGGTTACCAGATATGCCCCAAACTGCCCATGGGTCAAAGACTCAAGCCAACAAATAGCTGGAGGGATTTGGGTTCTTCTGAGCAGATCCATCACCGTCCTACTTCTCTCCCTCCCCCTCCCCTTTTCTCCTTCCCTTAAATGCCTTCATTTCACAAGCGAAGACTCTGAGGTGCAGAAGAGGCAGAGGTTGAACCAATGGCATTGCCGAGATATACCAGAGAGCCAGGACTCAACGTATCCTTCCAGTTTCAGGAGAGTCCCTGCATTGGGATAGGAGGCAGGAATCTCAGCTCAGGATTCGCCTGCCCTGGCTTTTGCCAGGCTGCTCACTCCGGCTGAAGGAGAGCCACTGTAGCCACCAGGAATGCAGTCAACACAGCACCATACCCGGCCCCCAGGGAGGGCTATGGGGTATGGTCTCTTGCAGCCTGCAGTGCACCACTCTGCTCTCAAACACTGGAAACCCTCCTTTTTAAGGACATCAGCTCCTTCTGTCACTTCACCTGCAGTTGGAGCCATAAATCGCTCCGTGACATGCTGAGTGGTGGTAATTTCATTGTTCTTTATATTTTTTTAATTCATGCTCACTAGTTATCTAACTCAGCCTCTAAGATGGGAGAGAAGTTTTATATTGGTCAGTGTCGGGTCAGATTCCCCAGAAGCAGAGCCTGAGCCAGGGTTTATGGAGGGAGGGACTCAGGAGAAGGGGGCCGGGGGAAGGAGCATGGAGCAGGGGAGGAGCTGAGCAAGGATGGTTTGGGAACTGGAAGCTCAGCCTGACCCCTCGCGAGCTCTGGAGCAGGAATTGCACCAGAGTCACTCCCACTGTGAGGCAAGAAGCCAGACCTCTTTTTGACCCCACTAGAGGTTGGTCTTGGGACCTGAACAGTCCCTGGGGATGGGAGGTATAACCCCCTGAGTGAGGTGGCTCCCATTGGAGGAAGGCAATTCTCCACAGAAGGGGGAAACTGTGAGCCATCATTTACAGCACGTGGGATGGGCGTTCCACCTGGTTAAGGGGAGCTGGTGGGTACCACGTCACGCACTGCAGTTCATCCAAGGTCTCCGCCCCTTGGATCGCCAAATCCCTGAGACCTCCAAGTCACGTGGATGCAGGAAAAGTTTAACCCTGAGGGTGTTCACTTCTGGTCTTCACATATGCCCACTGGCCTCGCCGCCCGGGGCCAACCCATCACCTCGACCTCTTCTCAGACCCCAGGAATTCATCACTTTCCTGGGGTCTGGTCGCCAACACTTACCAAGACCCTCAAAGCAAAGTCTTCACCCTCTCTGTTTCTAGACAATTCAGTTTCCTCCAGTTTCCACAGAGGGCCTGTTAGAGGAGTCTGAAAGGCAGCTCAGCCCACCCTTCCCAGGCAGCCCTCCCCTACAGATTACAAAGGGGCTGCTGACTCCTCCCTGGCAGTAAGGAGCACTCAGACCTTGGAACGAGGCTCCTGGGAGGGTGGGTTTGCTTCTCATCCCTTCCGGATGGCTCTTTGGCAGCAAAAAACAACAACTTATCCTGTGACACACCTAAATCACCTATGCTGCTTCCAGCCGGTTCCCTCCGGCTCCAAGGAGAAGCAGTTATGCAACTTCAGGCGTTGTGTGGCTATGTGAATGCCAGCACACCCACCCTTCCAGGTGGAATGTGTGCCCTTTGTCCAGTGCAGATACTCCAGGCCTCAGCCCATAGCTTGAGAGGAGGACAGGCCTGGTTACTGTCCAACATGTCACTGTGCTGTCTTACCACATGCTGAGGGGTCTGGCCACCTCCATAGAGAGGGTTTAGTCATCCTCCAAGGCAGTAAGATTTTGGGGGGCTCTAAACCCATCTATAGTTAAGCAATAGCTCTCCATTAATCAGAACATTCGATTACTAAGAACTTCAGCAGCCAGCAGAGAAAGGCTTCCTGTGGGAGTCAGGGGCTGGTGGGTGTGTCCTAGGCCTCTATGCCTCTGCAGAGACCATCAGAAGCGGGAAAAGAACCCCAAGTTCTAGCCCAGCCCCATTCCGTGTACTGTGTAGCTTGGGGATCTTCTGTGTCCTCACTGGGTTTCAGCTTCCTCAGAGGTGAGCAGACAATCTCTTGGGCTGTCCATTCGGTGACTGCCTCTTGGCTCTAACAGATCTGTCATCTGTTGGCTCCCTGAGCATTCCCTGCTCTGTCCTCTGCCATCACAGAATGGTGGCCGGGAAGCTAAACCTTCCTCCCAACTGGCAGGTGGCTTCCTGGTGCCTGAAGCCCCCAGCCCTCCCCCAAGCACAGATACCTTACAACTTCCAGAAGGTAACTGTGCTCCTCGCTTCTCTCAGCCACATCTCACTTCCCCAGGATGGTGCAAAAAGGCAACGTACACATAGAGGGTGTAAGGACCATGACATCACAGAGCAGGAGTGAGGGCAGGGGCTGTGGGGACACTCAGCCCTGATTCACTATGTGGCCTCCCCCAGAACGCTTCTCCTCCCTGGAGTCAATTTCCTCATCAATATAATGGACACATACAAGCACACACAGAGCTCAGGGCCTGGCCCGGTCTCCCCTTAACACCTATTCAGTTCTGCTGTCTGCCCCAGCAGATCACTGCTCTGCCCACACTCTCCTCATTCTCATGCCACAGAGAAAACGGAATTTCTGGAATTCTGAAAACAGAATAACGTCTTAAGGGGTGACCAGCAAGCCCAGAAACAGCCTCACCTAGGAAGGCCTGGTCCAGCTGGAATCGTGTACTCCTTTATCTGAGCCAAAAAGAGGAATGGGATTGAGGGACCCCTAAATAGCCTGCAATTCCCCTAGATAAGTAGAGAGATTTTGCTGAGAATGAAAAATAAACCCTGCTGTCAGCCGTCACCTCCAGCCCCCAGTGCAGTTAGCAGTCACCTTATTTCATGGAGAGAACCCGGAGTCTCAATAGCTTTAGACTCACAACTGTTTCTGAAAAGATCTAGGCTATTTCTGAAAACGTTGACTGGTTCTCATTCATCAACCTAAAAAAAGCCCAGCCCTTTTCTGGCATGTCCTTAGAGCTCTATTCTCACGCCTGGCCTGAAACCACGCCCCAACCCTGACCCAGACTCAGCCCTGACCTTGTGGAGGCCTAAAAGAAATCTGAACCCATCAAGACAGAAGTGTTTGCACAAATAACGTGTGGTTATGATATTACATGTAACAATGGAACAAGTATCATATTAAACATGTGAGCCGAGAATTATGGGTGATGAAGGAGAACTTCTTGGAAGGAAAACTCGATGGGCTGGACTGTCTTAGTCATTTTGGTACCCCCAGAACCCAGCCCCAAGGCTCAGGAAACATTGAGAGGGAGGGAGCAATTTGGACCTTGAAATACAGAAAGAGAGCCTTCCAGACAGAAGGAGCAGCATGAGCAGAGATAGGCATCTGTGGTGGATAGGTGGTCCCCAGGATCCCCACCTCCTGGTGTTGACATCTTGTGTGATCCCCTCCCCTTGAGTGTGGGTGGGATCTGTGACTTGCCTCTAACCAGGAGAACACAGGAAGAGAGATGGGAGTGTGTGGTTATGTAATCTAAGATTGTAGTGCCCATCATGCTATTGTCCCTCTCCCTTCCTGGCTTTGAAGGAGCAAGCAGCCATGATGGGGAACCCCACACAGCAAGGAAGCCAGGCAGTGTCTTAGGAATTGAGGAGAGCCTTTAGCTAGCAGCCTGCAAGGGCTTCCAGCAGCAAGCACAAAAATGAGGCTCTTAGTCCTACAGCCACAAGGAACTTAACTCTGTCAACGACTACGTGAGCTTGGAAGTAAATCCTTACCCACTTGAGGCTCAGATAAGACCACAGCCTTGGCCAACACCTTGATGCAGGTTTTATGAGACCCTGAAGTGATACCAACCCTGCTATCAGTTTCCCCACATTAAACCCAGCATATATAGGGTTAAAACCAAAACACGCATTCCCTGCTTACTCTCTGGCTTCCTGGCTCCAAAATCCACTATCCTCCATGGAGACAGACACCGTCAAGGACAAGCACCTGGACTATCTCCTCCCGCAAAGAGATAGAGGCTGGTGGGAAAGCTGCTGACCAGCAAGGTCACGGGCTGCCTCCTCTCTGCAAGTGTCTCAAGGCCAAAGACAGGCTGGTGGGAAAGCTCCGACCAGCAAGGCCATATGCTCCCCCTCCCCTACCTAAAACCCCAAATAAAAACCCTTCCTTTTAGCTTTTTGGGGAGTTTGGGATTTCAGCGTTAGCTGCCCTCTCTCCTTGCTCAGTGCTGTGCAAAAATAAAACTCTCCTACTTTCTTCCATCACACCCGGTGTCAGAGATTGGCTTGCTGCGCAACGGGTGAGCGAACTCACTTCAGGTTCGGTAACAATTTGGCAACCCAGATGGGACAATGTCCCAGGTGGACATCTCGCCTGTGGCACACCGGCCTCTGGCTAAAGGCCTCTCTTGGAAGCTGTCCTGCAGCTGCCTGAGCCCCTTGTCTCAGGGACAGCCCCAAGTGACTGGCTGCTAGCCAGAGGTCGTTGGCCCACAGCGCTTTTGCTTTGGTGGTGGAAGAAAATAGGTTTAGGACTTGGGAAGACGTCTCTTGTAAGTAGCTGGTAGTTTTTGTTTTTGTCTTTGTGTTAACCTTTTCCAACAGGACCAGCTGGAAATAATGGGTACCTTGGCAGCCCTCTGGGCTCATTTGTTTTGAAGTTGCTGCAACGCCCCAGCCAAATTTTGGTAAGTCCCCCAGGTGTGCACAACCGAGGTCCCTTGTCCTTGCTCATCTGGGAAGACCTGCATGGCGGATCTTCATTTGTTGGGCGCCCCCGAGTGTAGGACACGGACTAAGCTGGGGCTGGAAGCACTTTGGTTTTTGGTTTTGGTCTTTGTTTTGGCTTCCGTTTGTGGCCGAGGGCTTTTTGAGAATGCGCGCTTGTTTGGTATTTGTTGTTGTTTGTCTGTTTGTCTGTCCTTTTAAAAGTGTTAACATGGGAGATGCTGCATTTATTCCACCTAAGAGCCCCTTGGGAAAAACTTTGGCTGATGGTCGACCTATAGCTATAAGCCAATGTCTAAAGAGGGATGATTTTTTTTTGTAACACCACGTGACCACAATATTCTTTAAACTCCGGAGAGAAAAAAATGGCCAAACGATGGATCCTCAAGTTGGGAAACTTTTTAAAGAGCTCTTATGATAAACAACTGTTTTATTGGTACCTGTGAAAAGACCAAATTAAGAAGAAACTATAATGACTAGTCTTAAGAACTTAATCAAACTTGGGTCTTAGCTTCTCGTAGTCTTACAGATGCTAATAAAAATGTTAAGTTAACTCAGAGAAATCAGAAAGGGAAGAGTCACAGGACTCATCCCAATGGGATAAATGGAACAAATATAAATGAAGTTAAAACAAACCTTGTAGTAAAACACTGCCTAAGGTTGGATGGGCTAAAGGGACCCCCCATTGGCTCCCTAACGTTAAAGGACATCAGACAAACCTGTTCTATTTACCCCAGTTTGAAAAACGTAAAAGGTCAGGAGGCAAAAATCAGAGTGAGAAACCTGACCAACAAGCGTTTGGGGCAACAGTTAGGCTACTAAGATTAATAAGACTATAAAGATTAAAGTATTTAAGCTAATATTATATGAAGAGGTTATGTCAACTTTGCCTGGATGTTTTCTTTGGGAATAAATGTTGTGTCTAACTGGGAATGCTTTCCGCTGAACAATATTGTAATACCAAAACTTGTTAATAGAATTCTAATGTAAGTTATAATTAAAAGTATAAGGGTTAGTAAAACTAAGATAAAGTTTTGTAAAAATTGATATACTTAAACAGGCCAATTTCAGTTCACCCAAACTAATGTATGCAATTGGAAAAGCCAGCTGCAACAACGGGGAGCCTGTTTTAATCTTTTGAGGCTTCTAAATAAAATTAGAAATACTTTACTGCCTCTTTAAGAGAAAATAATTAAATAATTAAACATGCCAGCAGCCAACCCAAATCTGCTGCTTTTGTCTACTCTCTTGCTGAGCTTCCCAGCAAGCTGAGCTTCACTTCAACTCCCCCAAAATTTATGACCTAAAATTGAACAAGTAAAAATAAGTAAACTTCTGAGATAATTTGGAATTGTAATGGCCATTCTGAAAACCTGTTTCAGAAGAGGATTCAAAATCTCTCATAATGGTGTGCAGTCTTTAATGAATATGCAAAAACTTCTAAGAGACAAAGTTATTTAACATGATATAAAATTATCTTTGATGAATGAAAGCCTGTTTAAGTTTGCTGGTTTCATTTAAAATGAACACGTCCTCAAAGTTATCAGCATTGGCTATGATGCAGACATACAGCCTGGGTTTACTGGTCAAATGAGCTCATGTCATCTCTGTTATAAAATTTATCAGCAAAAGTCATAACTGAGTATAATAGCTAATTTTGTTTAATGTCTCATGGAATTTTTGTAGATGATCTAAATATAATTGTTAAGAACAGGTAAACTAAATAAATGTCAAAAAAATAAAAGTTTTTGGGAAAACTTTTTAAACAATAATTATATGTATAATTATATGTATAATAATTATATTATGATATATGTACTTAAAACAACTGAGGACAATAGTTAACTGCTGTAATGTCACATGAAGTTTATAAGAGTAATTATTAAAACTGGTAAGAGTTTTAAGTACAATAATTATGTTTTATAGTCTGCATACTTAAAAACAGCTTCCAAAATCTTTTTTTTATATATAAAAAATTTTATAGCTCTACTAAATGAAATTAAATAATAACAGTTTATTGGGTATCTAGGTCATTTCCACATAAGATAAAATATAAAAGGTTAACTACTAAGCATATATTTATCTGCCTTTGGTTTCTTATATCAAAGAGACTAAAAAGTGCTTAGGTTTATTGATAAATGAGTTTTATATATGCTGAGAAATTTTCTATGAGAAAACATATATTTCTAAAAGATCTGTATACAAGGAAAGCAAAATATATGTTTTCAGTAAAAAGATATAAAGAATGGAAATATTTTTTATCTTGAGTTGAGAAAGATAAATTTGTCCTAAAGTGCTGGGACAAATTCTTAATGTAAAAAAAGTAACCAAAGGTTTGTAAAAGTAAAACCCTAAAGAGATTTATGTATGGTCAAGTTGACCAGGATTAAAGTAAATCCAATTAAGTAAATAAACTTATATGTCAAAAGTAAACTGGTACAAAATTAAAACTTAGTTTCCTCTTTCTTAAAAGTATAATTTTCCTAAATTTTTAATCTGCTCTTAATAAAAAGATTATAAAAAGTCTTTTGTTGACTATTTTAACTCTGTTTCCCCTTGACTGTTTCTGTTGTCACTTTGAATAGATACCTGAACACGGTTTTACAGTGAACTTTGTTTCCTATCTGAACAAATGTTTTAAAGCTTTTAAGATTTTTGACAAGCTTCCCCCCACACACAAATATTCAAGTCTTGAATAAAAGCTTTCTTTTGACCTGGAAGAGGAGGGAAGGTTTCTCTGGGGATTTTCAGAGGGCCCCTGGGACTTCTTGGAGAAATTTACTCTCTTCCTATAAGAAAAGAATGTTAAACTAATAAGGCTTATTTTGTATATTAAATTACACGAGAAGCGTTGTCAAATAAATAATGATAAACTTTCTTAAATGGTATTATGTAAATGAGTGTTATTGATATAAACATTTAAAAAATTATCTGATCTGTTCTGATTGTCAGCTATAATCCTGGTTATTATCTCAAAATGTTGTGTATCACAGACATGGTCAAATGCCTTTGTCAGTTACCATTTTTTAATGTTTTGTTATTTATGAACAGTGGCTATTTTACTTTAATGTTTTTGCAAATATGTTTCATCTTCAGAGAAATTCATGGAAAGGACTCTGACACTCTAGAATACAGGTTTCTAATAAACGTTCAGATTGTAAAACTAAACTGGGTAAAAATTACAGAACTCCAACAGAGAAACTGATGACCTCACAAACTGCTGACAGAAGATTAAGATCAAGAACCAATTACGCAGGACAGAACAAACTGATAGGGATGATTATAATTTTCAGAATTTTTGGTTGAGATATTGCTGATTTTTGATGTTTTGCTTTTTTCAGAGTTAAGAAAACCTTTTTCTCTATTCTCTTGAAGAACTATGACTTACAGCAATTTATAAACAAAATTGAAACATTTGTCTTTTCCTCCCTTTCTGAGCCCTCCAAAACATAAAAACCCCTGAAGTGTAAGTATTCTTATTCTTGTGGCAATATAGTTGTTTGCGTAAGTCCAATAAGAATCTGTTCTTCTTTTAACAGGACACAATTGGAAACACTGGTTATATTACCAAGGCTTTGACTGGAACATCATGTTTGAAAAAACATATGGGCTTGGATATAATAAAACAGCTTTTGAGGAATGAAGGTTGACATTCTGGAATAAAGCCACTTGGAAATATTGGCCTGGTACTGTGTTTATGGGTTCTGTAACCTGGTAAGGTTGAGCAAAGAATGTCACTCCCTCTGGCAGGTACAAGGAACCTCAATATTTTGGGGAACCTCACGAAGAGAGGGATTCACCCAAATCTGTAGTTACTGCAGGCAGAATCTGATAACAGGTGCTTTGCTTGGCTTTCCTTGAGAGACCTTTACAGTTCAACCTGAGATTCCTTATAAGGTTCCAGCAAAGCAGATTAAAAAGAGCCTATATGATCAATTACTATTCTTGCTGTACTTATGTAAATAATTATGCCAAATTTATTAAAACTAAACACTGTGCAAACCAGTTAGTCTTAATTTGTCTATGTCTAGTGAAATTCAGGGTGATTTTAGGGAGGAAGATTATGTTTCAATAGAAACTATAATACATGTTTATAGATATTAGATTTTAGTTTTTTCAATTGTCTTTGAAATTTTTGTTTTACTTCTGTTAACTGGACTGGATCTTGAATTCTTTGTCTCCTGAAATATCTGGCTAAAAAACCCCAAACTAACATTTTCAGGGTTTTTCCCCATTATTTTCATTTGGAGTCATTGAAAACTAAATCTGCCCTTTTTCTTAAAGCCTTACAAACTGAAGCTGGAAGACCTAATATAAACTTAAGAGAGATTCATGTCTACTGCTGTGTAAGCCACTCAAAAAGCTACCTGAGTGCCGGATGACACCATCAAAGACATTTCAAACTGCAAAAGATGCTTCAACCCTGACTTCTAAGATCTTGATTGGCTACCCCCTGGGCTCAGAAACTGGTTTATAATTTGCTCCAATCATTAACCTTGTTTTTCTCTTTTTGTTTCTCTAGAAAAACTTCTTATTAAATACCTGGTTACTTAGGTACATGATACAGGCCTAACTTCAGGAGCCCACCAGCATTACTGCTTTATTAAAAGACTGGTTCAATGAGATGAAACGACTTACACCCCATTTCAGCAGGAAGTAGCTAGATTCGTCGCCGCCCCAAATCCCTCAAGATTGAAGGATGGACATAAAATAGGGGGGAGTTGATACCAACCCTGCTATCAGTTTCCCCACATTAAACCCAGCATATATAGGGTTAAAACCAAAACACGCATTCCCTGCTTACTCTCTGGCTTCCTGGCTCCAAAATCCACTATCCTCCATGGAGACAGACACCGTCAAGGACAAGCACCTGGACTATCTCCTCCCGCAAAGAGATAGAGGCTGGTGGGAAAGCTGCTGATCAGCAAGGTCATGGGCTGCCTCCTCTCTGCAAGTGTCTCAAGGCCAAAGACAGGCTGGTGGGAAAGCTCTGACCAGCAAGGCCATATGCTCCCCCTCCCCTACCTAAAACCCCAAATAAAAACCCTTCCTTTTAGCTTTTTGGGGATTTTGGGATTTCAGCGTTAGCTGCCCTCTCTCCTTGCTCAGTGCTGTGCAAAAATAAAATTCCTACTTTCTTCCACCACCCCCGGTGTCAGAGATTGGCTTGCTGCACAATGGGTGAGTGAACTCACTTCAGGTTCGGTAACAGAAGTACAGCTCCTAGCTGAACTGTGCTCAGACTCCTGACCCACAGAAACTGTGAGATAACAAACGATCATTGTTTTAAGCTGCTAAGTTTGTAGTCATTTGTTACACAACAATAGATAACTGACAGAGGGCTGTACTGGGAAGTCTTGACAGGACTTTCGGTCATTGGGATGGTTGAGGGCAGCTGTCAGTGACAAAATATTGCACAACAGTGGGAGTGGGGGGTCGTGTGAAGCAGATGATACTGGCTACTGTTTACTGAGTACAAACTATAAGCACTATGCTAAAGGCTTACATGTGCTAACTCAATCCCCACAAACTCTAGGATGTGGAGACTAGTGTTACTTCCATTTCACAGATGAGGAAATTGAGGTTCAGAGAAGTTAAGCACCTTGCCCTAAGTCACACAGATGATAAGTGGTAGAGCTGGGACTCAAGCCAAGAAGCCTAACAGCATTGCCCCCATTTTAAAGTGCTTTGCCATGCCCCCTCAAGAGCAAGGGAGCTGGCATGTCAGTCTGAGGAACTGTGTTCTTCAGGCAGTGGGAGCCCTGGATGGTGGGGGACAGGAGAGTGGCACAATTCATTGTGTGTTTTGGAAAGCCGTCACCAACAGAGCAGTAGGGAGGGTGGGGAGCCAGGCTGTGGGGAGACGTAGGGGCTGGGGGAGTTTGTGGAGGATGGGGGAGTCAGGCACCCTGGGAAGGGGCTAGGGAGTGAAGGACCAAGGGGTAGAGCAGAGATGCTGGTAAAAAGCCACCTAGGCCAGCAAGCATCTCTGTGGTCAGGGCTGGATGGAAGTGATCCACTCCAGCCCCAGAGCCTTCCTACCTCCCCACTCATGCTCTGCAGTCCTGTAGGCTGTTCTGCCTCCTGCCATGGTACACTGGGGCTGAGAGAGGCCAAGGCTCCAGTTCACAGCCCCCAGCCAGTCCCTCAGCACGGTCTTCCTTCCTCTTGCAAAGTTTCCTGGGACGTGCACTTGAGGGTGAGTGTTACTGCCCGGCACACAGAGGCGAGGCAGGAATAGCCAAAGCCACTGGGGCACAGACTCCCCATCCCTTGAGACTCAGGTTTGCCCTGGGTCCCATTGAGCCATCCCTGCAGCTTCCACAACCCCCACCAGAAATGAGACAAAACCGGGCATTGACAGGGATGAGCCAGACTTATGGTGAACACTGCAATTAGTTTTTTAATCTGGTGGTTTACAAACCTCTAAGACATCTGGGCAGCTGAGCCTCAAAGCAGCTGACCCCACACTAGCTAATGAGGGCAGTGGCTTCCAGCTGGAATGCCTGGCAGCTGGCACTTCTGAGTAGAGCTGCCCCAAAGCCAAGATGAGCACTGGTGGCTGGACCAACTCTCAGGGTGGCCTCCATAGGAGGAAATGCCCCAGGGCTCAGTGTTGTGCAGTTGGGGCCCAGCCTGCCTGCCTGCTAAAGTCTCTCTCTTGTGCCTGGCGGTACCTACCTCCTCACAGTCCTGCTTTACCCGACTCTCCAGCCACAGCCCCACAGAAGGTTTCTGTCTCTCCTTCTGGGGACACTCTTGCTGTCCTCCACCAGCCTGCAAATCCCACTTGACTTCCACAGGCCAGCATCTCCGTGACACTTTCCTGAATCCCATCAGAGATGCTTTCTCTTTCTCTAAGGCTCCCCAGGACTCTCCCCAGCGGCCCTGACAATGTTTTGTCTCACATACTGGTCCTATCTGCATATTCCCTTTCCTCCTGGACTGAGCTGCCCACTGCTGGGGCTGAGTCTGGTTCAGCTTTGCCCTCCCCTGGAAGCCATGGGGCTCCTGATGGCTTGATGTTGCAGCTCCCGTCTTGTCCCAGGGTCTAGATGCACACATGATGGCATTTCCCTTGACCTCATTGGCTCAACAGCAACCAGCCCAGGCAGGGAGAGAATCTCCAATTGAGGCCATGTGGCCTGAGAAAGCAACAGATCTTGATTAAGGCTCCCCATGGAACAGGGCATCTTAGCCCTGGGTCAACTGACTCCCAAAGAACACAGGAATAGAGGGTTGATGTATTGGGGTGGGAGAAAATGACAGCTTTATTCCCATTAACTTTTAACTGAAGTTTAACATTTTCTTCTATTATGTAAGTAAGCGTCAAAACATAGTGGTATCAGCAGGAGCTGGGACTTTGTCACCGATAGAAATCCCAGATATTTTCATCTCACATTCGCATCGCTGGAGATATCTCAAAATGTCATCCACTCTCATCGCTGCTTTTAAATCACCATAGTTATTCAGCCTGCCAGTAGATCTTGTTATTTGATATACAAATTAAGGAAGACATGTATCATTATGACACAAATTTGTTTTTAATATTTTGATGGCTGTATTTCAATTGATCGCCTTTGTAATCCTTTGTTTTATTTTTTAAGGATACAAAAACATCATCCTAACCAGAGTCCACAAGTTTCACCAGAAGGTCCATGACAGTGAAAAGGTTCAAATACCTGCTTTGGAGAGACCCTCAGGGGAGAGGAAACTGGTGGCCTCCAGTCCGGAGGAATCCTCACTTAACCCTTGGAGAAGTGGGCCCGCAAGTCTTAGAAATGAGTGTTCTGGGGCAGAGGCTGGGCAGCCAGACTAGCAAAGGGCTTTATTCATCTCTTCTTCCTTCTACTTATTTTAACTTGTATGTATGGCTTCAACTTCTGGACATTTCCATTGTGCCCAGCGTGGAGCATAGCCAAAGGGGGTTCCTGTCAGGATAGAGTGGAAACTGACACCCTGAGGGGCACCAGTCTGTAGCCCCTGGATTGGGGTTTTACATGGTGGCCAGGAGCCCACAGGGCAGCCCTCAGTTTCCTAGACAGGGGTCTGGGAGTGATAGAGGCCAAGTTCCAGGGGCTTCCTGGTGATGGCCTGTGTTGGCTGTCACTCAGGGCTGGTGAGACAGGGCCGAGAAGTGAGCTCCAAGGCAGGAACTAGAGTGAGCCCACAGCACCTGCCCTGGGTAGTCAGTGACTGATAGGAGGCCTTCAAATTTCACAGCCTGGACCCCTGTCCTTAGGCACTTGGGTAGGGGGTAGGCAAAATTGGCAAGCTGTCTATGTCAGAGGTGCCAGAGTGGTTCCCAAATCTGTCCTCAACTTCTTCTACAGCATAGCAGCTGCTTTGGGGGTCCCTTCTCTGATTACAGCCACAGCTGCGGTGGAAAGTTCCATGAAGGCTCTCAGCATCCCACTTCAAGGGCACATGGATCTGTCCCTTGGCCTGACTCAAGGTTATCTCTAAAACCACAGACCAGGGGATGGGGTTGGGGTCGAGGGGTACAGTCAACAAGTGCAGGGAAGTTCATTTCCTAGGGTGGGACCCGTAGATAAGTGCCCTGGCTTCCCACCCCCAGGATGGACCACTCTGGGAGGCTTCTGAGGTACTTGCTGAGTTGAGTTCCCATCTCCTAAAGCGGAGACCTCGATAGCACGCTTCTTGCCCCCTTCCTCCAGCCCCATAGGATCACCTCACAAATAAACTATCTGCACCCGAGTTCCTGCCTGTGATATTGTGATTTACAATAAGAAATACGTATTTGGTCTTCATGCCCAGTTCCTGGCACAGAGCTCCTAAAACCCTTGTAATTTCCTAGGTGATAAGAACACTAGGAGCATCTTTTGTTGTAATATTTGGTCTTTGACTCCAGTTTCTAACACAGGGTACTAAATCCCTTGGAATTCTTGGGTGATTGGAGTGTCTTTTTTTCTAATGAGGCAACTCTGTCTGGGCTCCTGCATGGCTCCTAGATGGGGACTAGTCACCAGAAAGACCAAGACACGATTAGAAGCTTGGAATTTTCACCTCCATCCCCTTTCTCTTGAGAAGGGAAAAGGGCTGAAAATGGAGTTAACGATCTATCATGCCCATGTGATGAAGCCTCCATAAAAATCCCAAAAGTATGGGGTTCAGACAGCTTCCAGGCTGGTGAACACGTTCTTGTACTGGGAGGGTGACGCACGCCAACTCCACGGGGACAGAAGCTCCTGCACTCGGGACCCTCCCAGACCTCACTCGACATATCTCTTCATCTGGCTGTTCATCTGTATCCACTATCATGTCCTTTAGTAAACTGGTAAGTGTAAGTGAGTGTTTCCCTGAGTTCTGTGAGCTGCTCTAGCAAATCAATTGAACGCAAGTTGGGGGGTACGGGAACCTCAGATTTATAGCAGGTCAGTCAGAAGCTCAGGTGACGACATGGACTTGGCAATTGATATCTGAAGTGAGGTGGGAGCAGTCTCATGGAACAGAGCCCTTAACTAAGGGAGCTGATGCTCTCACCAGGTAAACAGTGTCAGAATTGAGTTAAATTGAATTAAATTGTAGGACTTCCATCTGGTGTCACAGAATTGCTTGGTGGGGGAAAACCCCCCACACATTTAGTGACCAGAAGTGTTAGAAGTGAAGTGTTCTGGGAGAGTAGTAAAAGAGACACACAGGAGGTGAAGAATTGAGTTTTTCCCTGCTCAGGTGGGAAAGACTGGGTTTTCCTATTCACTGTCCCACGTCCTGCTTTCAGGGAGATCCAAACTAAGACATATAGTCATAGAATGTTTAAGCTGAGTACATGATTGCCCCTGAGAAAGGATACATTTCCAAGCTGTGTTTTAGCTCTGTGTGGCCATGTAACTACGTTTGGGC